ATATTAAGTAAAACACGAGAAATTATCTCAGACGCCGATAAAGGGACTGTTAATAATATGAAGAGATGGGCAGCCACCATTTTCCAGCGACAAACATATGATATCTCTGGAAGAAGAGAGTAAATGAACAATAACAGTGGCAGCAATATATTTCTACATTTGTTTCAACTAGGTTTGTTTGATCGAGCTATAAATAGCGATTCCGGCTGCATTTTAAAGTCTGTTATTGTCCGGTTCCTTGTACCACAGTGATAATCCAAGGTAGAACCAATAAAGAAGAACTCGAATACGGATATGGAATAACACAGATATATTACAAACAGGAATATATACAGAGAAGTAGAAAGTGTTAGTACGAACAATCAGGTTTGGTAGTAATGGTCTGGAAGCGACTCTGTTTCGGACTGCCTCTGACTTGACTGACTGACTGACAGACTCCTGACGGACCTCACTCCAGACTTCAGACTGAACAGTATTTAGTCACCCACGCGGGCATCATGTGGCACAAGGCCGGTTTAATGTGGGATCTCCGAGCTCGTGGGATCGGCCAAAAATATGCCCAATTGAACCCGTATAAACGGCTTCAGGGTCGGTTTACCTCCCCGAAAGAGAGCCTTGTTCGGGTTCCTCCCCGCCCGAAGGCAGAGAGTTCAACCGATCAGCCCCCGCCCGACTTCGGGCTGAACTCCCTTGAGGCGCAGTATTTATTACGTATGGAATAGTCCATTATATTGTTATGGGTAAGGTCCCATAACAAAGTCTAACGTTTGTTATTTATTGGATTTATCATTTCCACTATCAGCCAAGTTACCTAGATTTAACTGTAACACCACAAGTCAAAAATTGCCAAATTCGAAATTTAGTAGAGCTGGAAACGAACACCAGTCTGATAGCCCCATCTACAAGTACGTATTATCGGTCGGGAAATGTATGAAATTTACTACAGAAAAAAGTGAGGGATCTATTTATGGCTTGGCTCTAAAATAAAAATATATGCCTACTTAATATTCACTTGTCTATTATTAATCAAATGTCGACAATCTACAATCAGGGTTGCCAAATTAGGCTACAACTAGAGAATTGGGCGACATTTGAAAGCCTACAGCTACTGAATTTAGAACTGACTTACTAGATCAAATTAGCCCAATTATTTTTAAAAGTTGCACTTAGCAGAAATTAAAATTTAGTAGCACTTAGTTTCAGGCTGGGATCAGTGTGTATTATCTGTTCTTCACCTCTCTGTCGTGTTTCTGTCTTCGACCAGTTCAAAGAAAAGATTATATATATATATATATATATATATATATATATATATATATCCGATGCAATGAGAACGAAAGTAATATATAAATTCTAACGTTCACAGCATTAATTTAAAAGAGGGCTCGATACCGATATTAGAGCGATAATTATTTATTATAATTTTATCATATCGACAAAAAAAGTTTAAAGTTTACTCACTACAAAGATGCAGTTTGCCCACTACAAAGGAAGTGACGTTTCACAAGCGGCTTGCTTACAATCAGAATTGTTCATAGCCATTTTTGGTTCTCACCAGTCGAGGTGCAATTGAAATGCATCGAAACGAAGTTGCATCTTTGTAGTGAATAAACTGTTTTTGTCTATATGATAAAATTATAACACACACACACACACACACACACACACACACACATATATATATACATGGAGCACTGTCTTCTTAAAAATAAAAACAAAAAATACTAAAGGAATTTGGATCATGCACCCAACGTGTTCTTTTTCTATTTTCTGCATACCTACGCACTTATATATATATATATATATATATATATATATATATATATATATATATATATATATATATATATACCGGATGTAACAACAAAATTGTCCAAATCGTGTAACAGCATAATTGTCCATCTCACACCATGTTTGATATCTAAACAAAACAAAACAAAAAAACCACTAAGCTAATTGAATTTATTTTTACAGCTTTTCAGATAAGATGTTTAGTCATCTTGACACCATTTGTCGTAAGAATCACTGAAAAACCCTTTGAGTTCTTCAGCTAAAATCTTTTTGAGTCAGCCCCACTGTCTTCCCAAATGAGCAATGGTGAGAGTTAAAAGATCATTTAGGCCTTCAGTAATGGTACGAACATTCATATTTTGTTTTCCATCTTCAAAGTTCATTCAATGGTCATCAAGAGAAAAGTGAATAATTTTTAAAAAGAGTGAACAGTAGAGAAGAAAATTGGATCAGGATCTCAAAACTGGAAGAGGGATCATCATTTCAGCTTAGAGCTAACGAGATCAGTTAGAAAAAATCCAACTCAATCCATAAGACTTTTAGCACATAAGAGAGGACTTCGAAAGAGTAGTGAAAAAGACTTGAAAATGAAACCTGTGAGGCACCTTGTTACTCCAGGACAGAAAGTTAGAAGGTTAGAGAGGGCGAAGATCATCTTGAATAAGTTGGAAAATGATTCTGGTATAATATATATATATATATATATATATATATATATATATATTTGAACTTTATTTCAATCCTTCATGAGCTTCCGATCCTGAGCTATGATTAATTAAATCATTTTCGTTTAAGATCGATTTCATCACGATAATTCTGTTAAGGTTAGAGAATAATTATACATTCTTATTGCTCAAAGTAGAGTCAAGTAGTGTTAAAAAAAAACCTCGGAAAATTCCAGTTATCTTTAAGGATTTCTAAGATACAACGGTCCAAACTGAATCTAACAAATGATCAATTTTATTTTTACCCGAATTCGGCAATTTTGCTGTTACACTCCGTATAGAAATACCTCCCACGTCTCTTTTTTCTTTTTTGTGTGCCATGTCCTTTCAGGACGTAGCTAATCATGGCTCTTCACCTCCCTCTATCCCTTGGAGCTTTCAACAAGTTTCTTCCCTCTGCTTCCTCCCCCAGACCACGTTCTGTCATCCACTTGCTTAAGTCCGCCAGGTATGTCACGCTTTGTTTTCCCTTGTCTCTCTTTCCCTCAATTCGACCCGTGAGTATCAGGTTCTCCAGGCCCTTCTTCCTCATTATGTGTTTCAGAAACTTCAGCTGCCTCTTACTGATATTTATAAGCCTTCTTCTTGTTTTCAACCTATCTAAGATCTCATCGTTGCATCCTTCTGTAGAACCACATCTCCTCGAGCCTCTTCTTCATCTTTGAGGAAATCGTCCAATATTCGCTGCCATAAAGAAGTGACAGATGTTACGTAACAGTTCAGTATTTTTTTTTATTTGTTACCAAAGAAATCCTCCTGTCTGGCAGTACCCTGCCCAGCTTTTGGAATGTATCCTTCCTTGCCCATCCCAATACGCCTACCGATCTCAATGTCTCACTTACCGTCATCTGTCAAGACGCTTCCCCGGTATTTAAATTTCCGCCTCTGCTTGATTCTAGTATTCCCGACCTTCAAATCACATTTCGGGCACATCCCCTTACTTACGACCGTTCACTCTGTTTTCTTGTAGTTTATGCTTAGTCCCTTCTTCTCACTTTTCGTCGCTACCTTCTGTAGGAGATTTTCTAATTTCATTTCCGTGTCTGCTATCAGTACTGTTTCATCTGTGTATCTTATGATTGTGGCCGCCAATGCTAAATCCCGAGACGGTTTCCAATTCTCTCCGGATTGCCTCGCTGTATAGGTTGAATAGGTCGGGTGAGAAGATGCATCCTTGCCTTACGCCCCTTTCTATTTTTGTATATTCACTGAACTCGTTCCCTATGTGCATACATGCTGTTTGCTGCCAGTATAGGTTCTTGATTATTTTGATATCTTTCCTGATTATGTCAAGGTTGCTGAGCAGTTCCATCAGATCCTTGTAGCGTACTTTGTCGAAGGTCCTTGCGTAGTCTATGAAACATAGGTACACGTCCTTCTGCATCTGTATTGGTCTTTCTGATAACGTTCTGAGCATGAATATTGCATTCCTTATTCCAATGTCTTTAACGAACCCGTACTGTTCTTGTCCTATCTCTGGGCTGATTCTGCTGCGCGCTCTGTTCATTAGAATACGGATGAAGATTTTTGTCACGTGGCTCATTAGGCTGAATGTTCGGTGGAGTTCGCATTCGTTTGCGCCTATTTTCTTAGGCATTGCTACGAAGATAGATCTGCTAAGGTCTACCGGTATATCTCCGGTGTCGTAGAATTCATTTGATCTTGTCTATGTCATCATATACGTCTTAGAAATATCTTGCACATAATGGTAAGACATTAGCGACAGGATACAGCAGAAATATATTCTTAATAATTTTAAGGCATTAGCTAGATCAAAACACCCTTGATACTTCCCTAAGTTTACTGACACCACAAAGGTAACTGTGTAAAGTATGGGGGGTATTTCTGCCGCACACTGTAGCTAATGTCTTACCATTATGTAAGTGGTATTTCAGTGGCCCCCTGTATATATATATATTGATAGATATAGATATATGAGTAAAATTTTTCTCTTTCGTTGTTCGCATTTTCGATTCAATAGTCTCATTGTTTTGGCTATTGTAATTTCTGTCCTTCCCCCCCCCCCGCACCTGTTGTTTTCTGGTAAGCTGGCAATTTCACTCTATACCTTTGTACCTTTTAATCAATCGACCGGTGCAAAATGTTTACAACCCCGATGTCCATGTTAGGGTAGATAATTTGTAATAGGTAATATTCTACTATTCAGTTACTTTCTTAATCCACCCATGTTAACTAATTTGAGATACTTACTAACATAAAATGAAAAACAGTCTACTTGCTTGTATTGAATAAAGTGTTTCTTTCGAATTTCCGAAAACCTTACTAAATACAACAGACGCCAAAAGAAGGCCAGAGATTACAACAACCAAAACGTTGTGACTGCAATAATAATAAAAAGGACAACAATTCGAGTAAACCTGTAAATAATAATAATAATAATAATAATAATAATAATAATAATAATAATAATTCTGTGTCTGAGAAATTTAGACAGAAAGCTATTAGTCAATTTGGATTCGAAAGAGAAAAGCAGCGTACTACATTAAAACTGGTTTCATTGTCACCCCTCACTCTCTCTCTCTTTCTCTCTCTTTCTTTCTTTCTTTCTTTCTTTCTTTCTTTCTTTCTTTCTTTCTTTCGCAATCGCTCTCTCTCAATTTCTCTCTCTCTCTCTTTCAATATATATTTTTTGTCTCTGTATCTCTCTCTCTTAACGTCTTTTTCTCTCTGTCTCAATAACTCTCTCTTTATCCGTTTCTCTCTTACCTATGGTCTCTGTAACTTCAAATTCTGTCATATACTATGAGCGTAGATCCATCAGAGCTCGCACACCTCGCAGCTTAGAAAACGAAAAAGAGGATCATCTCAATACATACTTTTAGCAAAATGAAGTCGTAAATCATACAGTAAAAGCCAATATATAGATGTTCGATATTTCTTTTATGAAAGAGAGAAAACGAAATCACGCGCTTATTACGTGAAAAGCAGTGAAACGAAAGAGCGAACGTTTTCTCTTCTCTTTTTCTTGCATTGCCATAGCAGAAATCTTTACTCAATGTTCGTGTCTGATTTGAATATGTGTACGACTAAAGAGATTGGACTACGCTTACCTTAGTGTAGGAAAGACGAGAAGACTGTGTTACGCCGACCTTTGAAATGAGCAAGCCTAGTCTGTTTTAGAATAAGTATTTTTTTTATTTGGCAATTTATCTAAGTAGAAATTCTTTCAAGGACCAAGTAAACATCATATATATGTTTGGAAAATAAAATATTCCTCTAACTCTAGATACATATATAAAAACAATCCATACGTTCAGTTAAAAATAAAATTAGCCTTGATAATGGCTAAAAGTATATCCGAAAGAACTCGGACCTATAAAAATTTCGGCCAATTTTTGCATAATTTATGTTCAGACAAGAAGAAAATTATAAGAACACAAGGAAAATTAAATAAAAACCTTGTCAGTCGTTTTTTAATGAAACCTGTATATATATATTTACATATCTATCTATATATATGTATATACACACACACACACGCATATATATTATGAAATGGACATTATTTTAAGACATTTTTATGTTTATACGTTCTTTATATAGATACAAATATTTAAGTAAATGTTTATAATAAACAGTATTAATGACATTTACCGGCCTGAATGTCCGAGAATTTTTCATAGAAAATATGCATCCTCCGACAGGAATCGAACCTGTATCCTATACGCAACAGTCATATAGACTGACGTGCTTTATCGATTGAGCCACAGAGGAGTGTTTCGGTTGGCAAGGTCGATTTTACTGTTTTTAAACTACAATTCTCCATGATTTTATCTCGTACATTCATAACTGCTCGATGCGTATCCAAATGTAAAGAAATGACGTCGAACATTATGAAATGGACAAAGTCCGACGATTATTTTAAGACATTTATAAAAAGAACGTATAAACATAAAAAAAATGTCAAAATATATATATATATATATATATATATATATATATATATATGTATGTATAAAATTTCGCACATTGAATGGTGGGACTAATAAAAATAGTGCTCGATGTATAATAACAGAGCTATAACTTATATTAATAACAAATATACATTTTCTCACCGTCATCACCAGTTTCAAGCACGAAGCATTCTTTTAGGTGCTGATTCATGGTTTTATGTTAGATTCAATCATCAGGTGCTGAAATATTTATATATATATATATATATATATATATATATATATATATATATAGTTAAATTCCCAGATCAATTCTGTGGACAAAACAGATTGGTATAAAATGACGAAATAAAATAAAATGAAGATTTTTTTCCAATATATATATATATATATATATATATATATATATATATATATATAGAGAGAGAGAGAGAGAGAGATACATACATATAGTAACAAAAAAATCATTAAATATTAATTTATCTGTCCCTAGTTTCACGAATATTATGTCCACTTGTCAGCGGGCTTAATAGTAAAATTTTATTACTATTTTATTTTAATACCTTCGAAGATTGCTAGCCTTAAAAGTGTTATCATCTATTAATAGCTTAATTGATCTTTTTCCCTTTTATATCTATAACACTTGATGTTATTACATGTTTTCCATAGTAGGAAGCACTAGACCCACCTCATAACATCGCTTTTGTTTAACGTATCCAGGTTGTCTTAGCTGTGTTTGGAAACGGAATACAACTTTAGCAAAAACTAAATCATTACTACGCTTCCGCAACATAGCATAGGAGACAATATAAATATACAAACGCTTTCTTTATCATAAAAATTTTAAATAAAAACATTCTTCAAAATCGCTAATGAATCAACCGAAAGTGCCCGGGACAATAAATATTATGAACAATTCGTCTACACAATTAGGCTTTCAAAAAGAAAAATTTTGATAACATGAAAAAGTGAATAAAAAACTTTTTGAAAATTCCTTCTTCGTCATATTCAACTAAATACATATATATATACACACACACACACATATATATATATATATATATATATATATATATATATATATATATATATATATATATAGAGAGAGAGAGAGAGAGAGAGAGAGAGGATGATAGATATTTGACTTGAATTTTTAAATAATATTTCGAATTCAAAATAATGATAGGAATAATTTCGTATTTTATTTTCACCATAATTTCTTATTCACTTCATTTGCTTTCTAACAAATTAAATATTTACATTAGTCTACCAAATTTTATATAAAAAGTGGTCGATATATTAATTTTAAGTTCTTTCTTCTATTGACATAAAAGAAGGAAATGAAGGTTCTTGTTTTCATATCTGACGAGCCTGCAACGCGCATTCACAAAACGTTGATACGATTTAATTCTGTCTGGAAATAGCGAACGAGACTCATTTTAACAGAGAATCAATATAGACGCATGCAGCTAGCCACACTGGACACACTAATTAGTGCTCCTAATTAACTGATCGACTGACTGATTGAGTCTTTGATAGCTCCTTTGACTGGAGTGGGAGAATAAATCGTATGCTGATAGCCTCAACAAGCAATGAAAAAATATTCATAAACTGCAAGTGCAGAATGAAAGACTGAAAAATAAAAATAAAAGCAAAACGAAGAAATGAAAGGGGAAAATAGAAACACACTTAATGAAGATTCCATGTGCAGACATAACAATTAGATTTGTTTTTTTTTTTTTGTTGTTTTTTTTGCTTAAATGTTGAGTCTTCGTTTAATTGGAGTTTGAATTTATATGCCTGCTGGACCGTTCGAACCTAAACAAGTGTCAAGAATACGCGTACCAAAAATAAAAACTTAGACACTACTAAAAAAAAAAAAATGAATAAATAAAATAAAAGTGCCGTACGAAGCAACCCTCTACTCTATCGGACAAACAGAAAAATGCATCAATGTTTTAACGCATTGTAGAATAGGCAATATGACAATAACCCGCTTAAAAAAAAAATGCAGAGTGCTATAAATCGAAGATAGATTAGTAACAGAAGACACCCACCATATGAACAATCCTTTCAAAGATATCTACCCAGGCGGTTCCCATACGCAAGTATTTTCCTTACATGTTCTCTAAAACTTGTCCTTCGCATTTGCTTTCAACAAAACATTTATAAAGTATTTCTTGTATTGACTAGATGTTGAAGCATAAAAGAATACGCACGTTATTATTACAACTAGCAGACTTAATATTTCTCTTATGGCAACCATTTATTACTGCTGCTAAATGAGATATGACGTAAAGAATTAACATTGATATTTTTCGACCTGATTAACACACCTCCCGTGTATTTTAAACAGGAGTAGAGGTTTATCACTTGTTTCCTGTTCAGAGTTGGGTTTCCGGTTCCTTCTAAAATATTTTCTGTCTTTCACCCCCAGTAGCCCCCACCCCCGTGTCTTAGTGCCATTAACATTTTGCTTGGAGTAAACTGATTTAAAAAAATTAATATCTAACAATGTCGGCTACAGATCGCTAGTTATCAAACATTTAACGCAAGTTATTCTTAAAGAGTTGTTTTTATACTAAAGTTCAACCATTCAAGGCTCAAGAGCCAAAGTGGAAATTACTGTGAAAATGTTTATAAGGAATGAGCTGTGTGATATTAATAATAGAGGAAATAGCAGAAACTGAAGATTATAAGGATAAGTGGGATAAATAACGATTGTCTCTTGAGAGGTTAAGATTATAGTGTTTAGGGATTCTTTTCTACAAAGTAGTCTTTTTCAGGAAGAAGTTGTCTGAGTGCAACTTCCTTTCTAAAATTTGGAATAAAGGGGAAATGAGAGTGATTCGAATCGATGGAAATAGCATTGCGTATCCTCGCAGTAAAGCTCTGAAACTCAACTTTGATCTTCAAAAATGTAAATGTTAATCGTTATCTTCTGTTTTCTTAATTCCTGTTTATTTATTGTTCTCTCTCCTTAATAATGTTTTCTTTTTCTCATATTCTATCATACTCAGTAACCCCTTACGTTTTAGTGGCTTTATTGCCTTGCTTGGGGTGAAGTGATTTAAAAAATGCTGGAACTAAAGAAAAGCACTCATCTGAATACTTGCCACGGAGATAGAGATAGATTGCAACATTGAGTCTGTGACAGAGAGGTTGTAGGGGTAGAAAATAAGTCTTTCCTAGCAAGTCCGTATAAACCATTTGGAACTCTAACAAAGTTGGAAAGTGAGGAGTGGGAAGCTCCAGCCCAATTACGCCAGCAATACTCCATTTTATATCTAACCTGACTGTTGTAAAGGTAAAACATAGCAGAAGGTGTCGGTTATTTCCTGATGTGATAGAATGAGCTGAAAATTTTCCAAGCAACGGATGGTATATATGAATACCACTTGAGGTCTGAAGTGAACTTGAAACCCAATAGGCGTTCAAAAGTATCTTATTTGTCCTCAATATCTTCTGCCTTATGCCAGACTAACGTTCATGATTCAGATCGATGGTTTAGAAGTTATTCATGAACATCGTTCTTAACCAGCTGAATTTTCAAGGGATGTTCCACTTTTTTGTCCTTGAGTCTAACAAACCTAAACTCATCTACTTGTCTACACTTCATCAGTTATGATCAGTGATTTGAAATTTTTATTCTGTATTGAGATTATACAAATACTTTTATCAAGTTATATATGCACGTTTCGTTGAAGCGTGAGGGTCAAGAAAAGAGTCAGTCTGTACAATTCCGATGATAATGAAATGTCAGATATCAAGTTCTTGCTGCAGTGTAATTTGCGAAAACTTGTCTTATTTCTTCAAATATGACCTCACGCAAAGCCAGCCGGATACATTTAATTAAATCTAGCAACCATGTTATCCAGGATCATGCCCGGTTAAAAAGTCAAACATTTACGCGTATATCGTCAAACTTTTACAACGAGAAACATACCTGTATAGAATCGGTATTGAACCACACTTACTATTGTATAAACTTAATGCATGATGAAATTAATTCCTATTATATGAATGGCCATTCTACGCTTATCTTGAGTGTTATACTCGCAAATTTTCGGTCGTTATGCACTCTGACCTTTTTCAAGTATCTCTCATCGCATTTGGTAATTTTGATCCGAACTCTTTATAAAATCTTTTGGGCGTGGGGGGGGGGACTTTTGTTTTTATAATTCCGCTTTCAATGCTTAAGGGAGATAACTCATATTGCTTAATAGTGTCTATTCAATCTTATCTTTGTGTCGTTTATTTCGCTAAACCAGAGTGTATGACTTTTCCGCACCACCTGAGACATGGACTTAGGACCACCACGAAACCAAGTAAGCCGTAACCAATCCACTAAGCTATCTTTTGAATACGAATAAAAGATTAGGTTCAAAATTTTATGGAGATTACGACAGACACCGGAAGAAAACCGGAGAGTAGAAAAACTCGAAACGTTGACATATACATTACTTCCTTTAATTGGAACTTTTCATGTAATTACTACCTCCCTTAGTACTCTGTTGGCTATATATTTGTAGCCTACTTTGCTTTGGTCTTTTCTTATTTAGCCCCGTCGCCTGCCATTTTGTTTATGAAAGCAACAGTTAATGTATTTTCTGGTCCTGTTGTTCTTACAACAAGTATAACAACGAAGATGATTTTACTAGACCGAACAGAAATGCATATAACGTTTCATCTCAAACATTTCGACAGAAATAATTCCGATTAAACTATCAAGAACTCTTATATGAAGCATTGTTATAAACCTATTATGTAGACAAGTATCTTCAATTGTCTTGGTCAAATCATTTTTCTCAGTTGAATTCTGGCCTTTCTGTATGTATCTATGATCTTGAGTCAGCATTATTTGAATTGGTCACACGATCTTAGCTGTTTCTCAATTTACATTATTTGCATTCGGACTAACATCTTTGTTGTTGTTATCGCAATCTTTCGACCGTTCTGTCCTCATGGCCTTTTTCTGCTGTCTGCCGATTCGGATCACCTTAAACGAATTTTGAACTGAACCCTTAATTGAATCAACGGCTGTAGATTGTTTTCGTTCTGTTGGCCACGTCTAGGGATATTTCGTTTTGATATGCTTAGTTCTTTCTCGCCCAGTTTTCCCTGATTCTAAGTTTGTACTATCCCTAAGTTCAATCCCTGGACCGGGTAGTAAAAAGATAGACTCACGAGGGACAGAGGGAGCAACGAGCTTTGCTCCCTCGTAAACATGTTTCCTCCATTTTAATCGGCTAGATGAATGAATCTCCTAATTATCCTGATTGATACTAAAAGTTGTGAGTGACTTGTCTATTGAATTTTCTACTGAATAGGAATATATTTATTGTCTGTTGAATCATGTCTATTGAATTCTTAAAACACGATTTTGTTTTCTTTTTGGCACTTTTAGTCCCTTTCATCTGTCCATACAGTAGTAAACACACACACACACACACATATATATATATATATATATATATATATATATATATATATATATTATATAAAAGGCTCAAACACTAATATTACATAGTTATAATTTATTACATTGGAATCGTAATCACGATCCAATTCATCAGACCTACAAATTCAAAAAGAAATCGGAAAATATAACCCCGGGTATCCGGAATATTAGTGTTTGAGGCTTTTTATATTATATTCTTACTCTGTCCTGGACATTGAGTTCTACCTGGATTCTATCCTCTTGGGAATTTATATATATATATATATATATATATATATATATATATATATATATATATATATATAACAATTGCACATAAAGTGCAGGTGTTATTGAAACAGTACTCGATATTATATAACAGAGCTATAATATATATATATATTAATAAATATACAAATACTGAAGATTGCATTTGGCATGAAACTCTGAGTCGTGCGAACGGTGTGAGATAATATGTATATTCATTAATATATATATATATATATATATATATATATATATATACTTGGTTAAATTACAGTTTTTGTTATGGATTATTTGCTATATTTCGGACCAAATTCTTGGTTCGTGGTCGAAGTCTTCAGATAAAATCTCGAACATTTGAGGACTTTCGATTTTTATTATGACATAATTTTTGTGCCATGTCGGTTTCATCGTTTTTCAAATGTCGTGTCGTTACGAGTGATATCATTTTTTTTAAATAATCGCATCCTCAATTGTCAGTTCGTGTTGTTTTTTTTATGAAACATATTTAGTATATTTGTTCCTAAATATGATAACATTTCATGGATGTTAGGTTGCTTGTTTTTTTTACTATTATTATTTCTAGTCACGTATATATATATATATATATATATATATATACTGCTTCAAACGTTATTAGAGTTGACGTTTCGTACTTGAAATATACGCCCCATTTTTATATATTAAACAGTGTGTATTAACAGTGTGTCTATCGGCCTACGCATTCGAGAAAAGTAAAGAAAATGTGTTCGCCGGCAGGAATCGAACCTGCGTCTCTCCTTGTAGGTGGGGGTCCATTTTAAGGAAAGCACAACTTCTTCATAAACACTGTTTTTCTCGAAATCCCGTAATTACTCAGTTTTGTATCCGAAAGCTAAATAAATCAATTTATAAAGAAATAATGGATTATCATTTTTAATCCATTAATCTTATTTCAAACGTTAATATGGCGATTATTTCAATTATTACAAATGTTGAATTAAAAATAATAATCCATTATTTCTCTAGAAACAAACACACACAAACACATAATATATATATATATATGTTGTGACATTTTTCCCCACAAAGCACGAATGCTGCACGTTGATATATCTCCTTTTGAAAACTGTGACAGGGGGTTAGTTTAACATGGAATTCTATACGTGCACGCATGGGCAAGAACAAACGCAGGACAGTTCCCGCAACTCTCGTTATGAAGAGGTCAGAATACTCTCACTGTTTCCTTTTGTACAAAGAGCGAATAGTGCGGAGTTGTCAGAATCGATCAGACTTATTTTTTTCTTATTTCTATCCGAACATAAGCCAACAGAGCCGTATCCCGGCTGAGACGAGAGAACCGCTGAGGAAGAACAGTTACTACATTAGAATCCCAACTCAAATTCAACGGGCTACGCACGGGTCTTCAACAAACGGTCAGTGAATAATAATTTATCTTTATCCTCGGTAGATCATACTGTTGCATACGAAATCTACGATTCTCTGGAGTCGGTAACATCAATCAGCTAACTGACAAACATTTACTCATATTAATCTTATATATATATATATATATATATATATATATATATATGAATGTAATGAGAACGAAAATAATATATAAATTCTAACGTTCATGGCATTAATTCAAAAGAGGGCTTAATACCAAAAGTAGACATTCACTATTGCTTGACTCCATCACATTTTTGTCTTTATTTATTTTTTTCAAACAAATGAAGAAACGGAAGTGACGTTTCACATGCGGCTTGCTTACTAACATAATTGTTCATAACCATTTTGGCTCTCACCAGTAGAAGTACAATTTAAATGCACTGAAACGAAGTTCCATCTTTGTAGTGAGCAAATTGTTTTTGTCTATATGATATATATATATATATATATATATATATATATATATATATATATATATTTCAGTTTTAATTTCAAACTAATATATTAAATTTAATATTTCCAATATGCAAAATAGTTTGCAGCATTTCAAAATGAATGCAAATTGATTAATGATGATATTTTCGAACTGCTGTCAGCATGTTTTGATTTTGACATAATATTTCGATCCTTGTAGCTTCCTGTCTTTGTCATATTCGGGTGAGTCCAGTAGTTCGAATGCAAGATAAGGAAAACTTCTTATCTTAGAAACTCAGGCAGAAGTTTATAGAAAAGTAACTTTTGGGTATTAGTTATCTACATCGGCAAATTCATATTTTGTTCTGTCAGGTGACCTAGATGAAGGACTTATACTCTATGACATTCAAAGTTCTGTTTTTAGATTAAAGAAACGAAGAGAAAATTGAATTTTTCTTCGAAGAGTTTATCATCAATTAGGATTTTCTTTTTGGCATTACTTCAGGCTAAGATGTTGCTGAGTGAGTAAATATTTTGTCTAATGTTTCTTTCTTCATAAACGTCTTTCATTTTAAGCGTCTTTTCAGTTTTGTTCGCAACATATTTTTATATGTATTCTTTACCTTGAATTAATTTATACTACACGGCATTCATTTTCTCTCTGTCTCAGTTCGTTCATATCACTCTATCTTTTCTCTATCTATTTACCTATCTCAGTTTTTCATATCTATCTATCTATTTATGTATCATTCTCTCTCTCTCTCTCTCTCTCTCTCTCTCTATATATATATATATATATATATATATATATATATATATATATATATATATCTGCGTGTGTCTGTGTGTGTTTAAGTATATATTTATCCAGAATTTGATTAATTTTAATATCCATCTATTTCTGTATACTTCTATCGCTCTCTATATGTGTGTGCATATATGTATTTATCCGTTTTAATATCTACCTCTCAACTTCTATCTATCTATCTATCTATCTATCTATCTATCTATCTATCTATCTCAGTCTTTTCATATCTATGTATCTATCTATCTCTGCCTCTCTCTTCTCTCTCTCTATATATATATAGATAGATAGATAGATACGTATATATATATATTTGTGTGTGTGTGTCTTTGTGTGCATTCATGTATGTATGTATATATTTATCCGTTTTTTTTAATATCCATCTATCTCTGCCAACTTCCTTCACCTCTGATTTATTCTGATTCTTCCTTACGTATAAAGTTCACCTGTTCGATATGAAATCGATATTTGATGGGCAGGGCCTCCCTGTTGAGGATTCTTTTATTATTTGTCGCTGATCCGATTCATTCCATCCTGAAATTTTAAGTTTCGGTTATTCAAATATGACCACAATCAGAATTTGCACACCAACATGCATCGGGTGCGCCAGATAAAATCGGAATCGCTTTTGAGAATAAAAACCGTTCGTTACAGTTAATATCAATAACGGCTGGAACTTAAAAACCCATAAGTGGCCAGCACTTCCGCGTGTTGGTGTCTTTGAGATAAGAAAGGTTAATACAGAAGATTAGTCGGTGGGAATCGTGTTCGTTCAGACTCAAGAGCAGAGCATGCCAAAGATGTTAATTTATGAAATGGCATCAACAGTTTGAGTAAGTTGACATTGGCACTCCCCGGTGCATTTCGAAGTGATTTAAAAGTTTATAATCTGTTTCTCTAATTCTGAGAGTGTTTACCTCATTTCTGTCTTACTGCTTCTATGTATATCGATTTTTATTCCTTTCTCGATATTGATTAAATATATTTTAGTAAAATCACAAGGTCAAATGATACAAAATGGTGGAGAGAAGATTGTGTTACGCCAGTCATTCCGTTAGGAAGATGTTATATATATATACCAGCATATTTGGGCACCTCGAGGCGGTGTAATGCTTAGCCATCTTGGCTCGCTAGACCAATTACGACTGAGTAGTGAGTTCGATACTCACTAGGTGCCCCTTAATTTCGGCCTTGTGATACATCTAAGCTACGCTTAGAAAATCACTATATATAAGCATATTCATTTTTAATGCGACATTTTTATTACTTCTAATATCCACTATAATAATGATGTTTGAAGTAATATATATATATAAATATATATATATATATATATATATATATATATATATATATATAATTTCACACAATAATAGATCGAGACTAGAAAAAGATTCCTCAACAGAATGCAGTAAGCCGTTTCGTCTTTTTTTTGGGGGTGGGGATTCATCAGCAGTGCACGTCCACTACCGGGATTAGAACCCGGGCTAGCAGGCCTCGGTGACAAAGATGAAACTAACTAGACTCAATATAGCGTAGCTACCCACAAAAACGACAAAATGGATGTCAGTGTTTTCTGCATTCTGTTGAGGATTCTTCTTGTAGACTCGATGAATTATTATGTGAAATTATTCAAATCATCCAAAATTTCTAGCACGCACACAAACACACACATACATACGTACGCGCGTACGCACACACACACACACACACACACACACACACACACACACATATATATATATATATATATATATATATATATATATATATATTCCTAGGACTTGGGAAACCGTTGTTTCAAATCAGCCTTCCTGGGTAGGACCATCCTGTTGGATCGGGAGTCTGAACCGAGACTTCTCGAATCCAACGGTCAGCAGCATGAAAAGGATCTGCGACGTACTGTCAGGAAAGCCCCACTCGTCCAACCGCGTCCACCACCCACACTCCTCTGTAACTCTTGCTCCCGATTCTACTGGGGTGGGCTGGGCTTTCACATCCATCCCAACCATCGCCATGAGGGGGGAAGGATAAAGACAATAGGGAAGCAAAAAGGTAACGCCGCCGACAACACACACACACACACACACACACACACACACACACACACACACACACACACATATATATATATATATATATATATATATATATATATATATACATACAAGTACAGGGTTGCTACAGATGGAATAAATTCCAGATAATCAAACACTTTTCTTAAAAGAGTGCTCAATACCGAGTAGAGCAAATAATATTTATTCAAAATTATAACATATGCATGTTATAACATCACTACAAGAATTGAAATATTTTCAACATTACTGGTGTCTTATCAAGTTATGATGTTGATTGCAAAATAAACGGTTTTAAGAGTTCAAAATCAACCAAACCCCCTCAGTAAGGGAAACATTGTTACGTTAAATTTCATTCAGTGATAGGCATATATAGAATATAGTTGGCACGAGATACCCGGGTAATGAATACAGCACAGAATAACTTCAATGCCAAATTGCACAGCTGTCGTTATGCAGTCGAAGGGAGAAGCTATATGTTATTAGCTAGCTGCCTCCTATAAAGGCTGAGTTATGTTCAAAGGATACTCTTTATTGAAGCGTGTTTTGATCGAAGTATTTGTCACGTTGTTGCCTGAGACTGAAAATGAGTGTTCGAGACAAAGTAAAAGTCAAGGTTTCATTACCGAAAAATAAGCATCCATCGATATTTCTTGGCGCAAGTTCTTAGTTGGGATAAGAAAACAAATTTTGTGCTGATCGAAGGTCCAGGGCAAATATAACCTATCGGTCTGAACGAAATATATCATAAATAACCACAAGGTCTCCGATATATATATATATATATATATATATATATATATATATATATATATATATATATATATATATATATATGAAAATTTCTCCGATTTAACCAGTAGAGAAGACAATATTTATGAATAAAAATGACAATAGGAAAACTAGTAATTGCTGACACGTTTCGTCCAATGTGGACTTTTATTTATTTTTTGCTACACCTGTTTCCGGCCTCGCGACCTTTATTAGAGAAAGAGTGGTTATTTCCATATATTATTAAAAGGAATTAATTTTCCTTGTGTTTTCCGATGTTTAAGCATTGTCTTTGTGCGTAGTAATAACACAAATTTTTTGGGACTTGTTGCGAAAGTATTCTTATGCTTAAAGGCTAATAAAACAATTAGGATTGGCCAGAGAAAAGGCGAAGGAAAGAGATCAAGCAAAAGCCCCCCCCCACCTTTAACTTTCGGAAAAGAGGTAACAATTTGTTTTTAAATTTCCTTAAAAATCATTTAACCACCAGTTACATAACATCGCCTGAAGAAGTACAATCATAGTATTAAAACATGGAAGCTTTTGTGTAGTGATTTCAACATGTATTTTTTATCATAATCTCGACTGGTATTCGAACCGGGCTATTCAATTCCACAATGAAATGCTATCCATTGCACCACCGTGCCTCCTTGATATATATATATATATATATATATATATATATATATATATATATATATATATATATATACTTATATAATATATTATACTAGCATTTCGTTCATATTTACTATTTGTGAAAGATTTTTTGTGTGTATAATTTCTTTGTTTCCAGGGTCCTTCAGTTACTCCTATGTATACTTTTTCTTCATTATCTGGTGATTTTATCGTGGCTTGGTATATTACGTTGTTTTGTAAACAATTTCCGTTTAAGGGACATTCGTTCTTTATTCTGCAGTTGCACGTAGGTTTAATTTGTTCGTGTGGTATACCAGGAGGCATATATATACCAGTCGAATCCATTACGTTCACTTACGTGCTAATACCCTTGGAAAAGGTGTGAATCCTATTCTTCTACCTCCAGCTATGGGGAAATAGCAGGACAGGCTGGGTTCTATAGCAATGGATAGCAACTAGTTTAGAAGAACAACAACTCTGAATTCAAAACCTGCGGAGGGTTGTTCGGGGACATTGTGGCACGTAGTGCACCAGGTCTCTGTACTCGGCCCATTAAAATGTGTGGATGGTCCTGCACGAACCTTCACCACGAAAATCAAATCTCATATGCTGTTGTCGGGCTGTCGGTTTCCTAGGGACTGATCTGCTTGACCCTCATACGTCGAATTCGACTGGAGAGTCGAGTATATATTCAATAGATATGTCGCCTGACTCGTATTTAGAAATTTTCCAGTTTGGGTTAGAGGAACGTACTCTTTCTGAAGTTCTAAATTAAATTAAAGATATTCTATCTACTCATATGTCTTTGCCTTAGCATAACCACCGACGGATTCCAAAAATTTTCATCTCCCCAATTTCATGACAAAGCACTTTGAAGTGTAACGATTATATTGAATCAATTGTTACGAAGTTCGGTTCGCTATGTCCTGCTCGACAATTTTTCTCACTGAAATCTATATTGTCCATTTATAAATATATCTGCGCATCGAATATTGCTTCCACATTTGGTCTAGTGTTTTTTGCTATAGAGACATTCTATATAGAAGGAGACATTCTTAAGAAAATCCAGAAAAAATTCTGCGACGTCATTCGACCTGATTTGGCATCTCGACTTCAGTCACTTTTCCATCGCCAAAACGGAGGTTTCTCGGTAATTCTTATGATGAGATTTCCTCTTTGGTAGCTGGACTTCACGAATTTAAGCACAGTGCTAGATTGGCAACTAGGTCTTATACTTTCACTGTCGAAGTTGCACGTTTTAACCGTAAGTTCTATGCTAGCAGTTTCTTTTTTCACACTTCTAGTTCTTGGCTTTTTGCTTTCCTGTCAAATACGATCTTCAGATCTTAATTCCTGTTCTTTTATTGTTCTTGCACTTTAATAATGTTTTTCATTTTCTCATATTCTTTCGCACTTAGTAACCAATTATATCTTAGTGGCTTTTTAGCCTTACATGTGGTGAAATTATTATTTTTATTCATCTACAACGGCCACATTTTTCTCTTTGAATCCTTTTCTTTTATTGTCATCTCTGTTTCTCTCTCTCTCTTTCATTGCATCTCAGTTGGATTTTTATCAACTTGCTTGGAATGAAATTATAAAAAAAAACCCTTCCAATAGTGCTTACACGTTGAGCTAGACAAATAGACAAACTCCTATATGTTGACTGTTATTAATTATGCAACATTCGTTTATATATTCATGGCTTCCTAATATTTATCTTTAAAGTAAGT